CGGAAATCCTCCTCGATGTTCTCGATCTGGGTGCCGGCCTTACGCAGGTGTGAGTTGCACCAGGCAGTGAAGGTCTGGGGGAAAGAACAGTGCTCAGACCCTCACGCTGGGGACAGTGCTCAGGCCCGCCAGCCAGGGTAGGCCTCCGAGCCCAGGGTCTTGGATTCAAGTCCTGGCTCGGCCACTGGCTTGCTGTGCGCCAGCCCCTCTCCCTCTCCGAGCTTTAGTTCTCCTGGAAGAGGAGAAAATGGGATCTGGGGCTCATGCAGGTCTCAGTTTGAACTTGGGGTACCTCACCAGCAGGGCTCCAGCTGCAACCAGCCTCAAGTACTGGAGGGGGATTTAGAGGATCGTAAAGCAGACACTCCAAAGTGTGGGGCCCTCTGAGACGCAAGGACCAACGCAGGGAGATACCGCCATTCTAGAATCTGAAACATTCTGGATCGAAGCGAACCTGGCTCTGAGGGTTTTGCCCGAGGGACTGTGCACCTGCATATTTTCCTCAGCCCCAGTGACCTCTCCAGGCTGTTGTGATTGGCCTCCAGGTAGACTACGAGTACGAAAGGGCTTGCAGGCCACGGCACACCAGCTGGGCACTCACGCCCAGCCTGACCTAGTTTCTGGAGGTCCTCCCTGCTCCCCAGAGTTAGCCTCAGCCTCAGTCTCTGTCTGGGGTGCAAAGGCTGGTACGTGGCTGTGTGTCTACTAGGGATGGGGTGACCTGGGGCTTGGTCCACAAATTTCAACCAAACTACCAAGGTTGCAGGCTCTGGATTCTCCTGGATCCATCAGCTCTAAAGTCCTCGGTCAAATCCAGTTTTGGGCTCCAACCCCAGCTGAGCTGCTCTCTGTGACCTTGGGCCAGCTCTTTGCCTTCTCTTAAGCTCAGTCTCCCCATGCGTACAGTTAACCCATCAGGCGCCATGATGTCTCAGGCCCTTCTTCCCCAACCTGGTAGGGTTCTCAAACTTAGAGCATCCCCCACCGCAAAGCAGATACTCCTTAAAGGTGGCCCTAGAAGTCATTTGGAATTTTTTCCCTCAGCCAATTTCCCTTCTTGGACCAGCTTTTCAGACGCCCTAGAAGCTGGAAAAGGATGATGCTTTTTAAATTCTTGAGGGGCTGTCATTGCTAAGGGAAAGGGGTGAGTTTCCCGTCACCGGAGGTGTGTAAGTGAGTGCTGAGCACTACTTGATGGGGCCTCAAACACAGGAAGGTCAGCTGATTCCCTGTAATTCCTGCCAATCCTAGAGTCTGGGATGCCCTGGAACTGAACAGGACAGGGGGAAAGGCAGGTCTGGGTGGGGCTTCCACGGCAAAGGAAGAGGCTTTTTCTTTCTTCTTCTTTTTTTTATGCTCACCTGATGACATTTTTTTTTTTTTCATTGCTTTTAGAGAGAGGGAGGCAGGCGGGGGAGAAAGAGAAACATTGATGTGAGGGAGAAACATTGATTTGTTGCCTCCTGTACACGCCCCAACCAGGGATCAAACCTGAAATCTCTAGGTATGTGCCTGACTGGGGACTTTCCAGTTTATGGGACGATGCTCCAACCAACTCAGCCACACCGGCGAGGGGAGAAGGGCATTTTTTCATTTGACAAACATGGTTCTTAATGAGATGTGGTCCCTGCCCTGAAGGAACTCACAGTCCATCAAAGAGTCCTGCAGGTCTGAGAAGAGCTGGGAGGGACCTGCATTGGGGATTCTAGGGGAGGAGTTCTCCCATTTAGGTGGGGAAGGCTACTGTTTGATCAGAGCTGCGATGGAAGAGCCAGAGTTATTCAGGCAGGAAGGGCAGGCAAGGGCATTCCCAGCAGGGGCAGCCACGCGGGCAAGTCCTTGCCAGTGAGACACAGTTGCTAGGTTTGCGGGGCCGCAGCTCCTGTGGGCACTGCTGGCATGAAGCTGGGGGTGTGGGGGTATAAGTGGTTGGTGAGAGTCAGGCCGGAGGGGCAGCAGGAGCCAGGTCATGCACGATCTTGGGTGCTAAGCCAGGGAGTTTGAACATGATCCTGAGAGCAACAGGGAGTCAGGGGAGCTTTCAGGCAGAGGACGTGGGCAGAACTGTTTTAAACAGCTCATTCTGGTTGCAGAGATGGAAGGCTTGGCAAAGCAGAAGGGAGAGAAGTGAGGAGGTGGCGACCGGGACCAGGGTAAGAGAGAGTCAGTGAGAGCAACGGGGCAGGACGAGATGGAGGTGATAGGACCATCATCCTTGCTGGCATATAAGCTGCCTGAGCTTGTCCCCTGCTGAATTCCTGGCACCTGAAACAGTGCCTGACACATAGTGGGATCTCCTTAAGGAATATTGAATAAATATTTTTGAATGTGGTTGAATCAGGTGGAAAGAGATGTTCCAAGACGCAGAGGGGTAACAGGGAGGAGGCAGGACCGAAGCTAAGCACAGAGATTTCACTACAGTGTAATAGACGACGTTGGAATGGAAAGGACGGACCAGAATGTCCAGCATCCCGGAGATTAATGTACAGAACAGCTACTCTCCGCAGCCATTGAATGAATCGATGAGGTGGGTGGCTATAAGGTGGGTTGAAAGGATATTTCTGGTATTTTGCTAAGTGACAAAGACAAGTTACAGACAGGTTGTGTCTTAGGAGGGGCGCATGAACCTGGATCAGGGAGGGGTCTGGGTGGGTGTGGTTGAGAACCAGAGTTGTTGCAAAGCTGATGACAGCTGGAGGCAGGGATGACGTGTCCGGGAGACTGCTGGACCAGAGGACCACAGCCCTGCTTGGAGACAGGTGCAAGAGGAGCCTGGGGGAGGCTTGTCACCCGGGGTACCCCAGCAGAGTCGGCTGAGCCTCCCGGGCCCCGGGGTCCTCTCCTATCACCTAACCCAGCAGAAGTGCTCTGATTCTAAACCCTGGAATTCTCAGATCCTGCAAATTCCACTGAACACGTCTGTCCCCTGCCCAGTTCTGGAGTCAAAACAGTTGGCAGATGCTGAGCAGGGTCCGTGACCTCATGGTGTCCTCCCTACTCCTGGCCTGCCACTCCCCAAAGTTTTCTCACTTCAGCCAGGATCATTTCTCTTTTGGGAACCCAGGTGTCCTGCCCCCTCCACTTGGGAAAGTCTGGGAGTGAAAATAGCTCAGCGAGAGGGGGCCCGAGCGCCCTACAAGGCTGGGCCCAGGAGCAGCTGCCCTTGTGCCCCTCTCTAGCTCCCCCAAGCCGCTGCCTCAGCACAAAGTGTCCGTCTGGCCAGAGAGTCAGGTTACTGTGTAAGGGGACACAGGGCTCCCTCCTCCCCAACCCTGTGGCCTTTTCAGCAGACTCAGAGTCGCTGGGGCAGGGAGGGGGTATCTTGGGAAAGCGCGGGGATGGGGCAAGCAAGGGGCAAAGACCCTCAGGTTGGAGGTTCCTGTTTTCTGCCAGTATATGATTTGGGTTCTATTTCTGCCCCTTTCTAGGCTTCAGTTTCCTCATTTGACAATTGGGATAGAGTGACCATGGATGCCATGCTGGAGAGAATCAGAAGAGACGGCGGAAGGGGATGGGATGGTTGCCCCCTCGCTGAGGGTTGCCCAAGTCTCTTTGCTAATTGTCTGGCTGCACGTCCTCAGGGTGGGGCCTGGGAATATTTAGCTAGAGAGGTGAAGGTGGGGTGTGGGGAGAAACAGATTATTCTTCTGGAAGCCCCTAAACTTGGATCTCCTGGGCTAAGCCCAATCTGTTTTCACCATCAGAATTGGGGCAATAGACCCAGGGAAATGGATGCTGGGGGGCAACCCAGAAACTCTCCTTGTCATCCTAAACCCTTCATGCGGACTCCCAGTCCTCTCTTCTTGCCCTGGGGGACAGCAGAGGGTTGAGGGGCAGAGTCTGAGCTAAGGAGTGGCACTCTGCTGGCTATGCCCCTGACCTGGCGAGATGACAACCACAAACCCATCGGCTTCTGAAGCCTCAGTTTTGCCGTCAGGAAATGGGCTAGTACTCACTTTCCGCTGCTGCTTCTCCCAGGCCGGGTCCAGCAGCAGGTCGCGGTCCCAGTCCTCCTCCTGTTCCATGTACTCGCCGCTGCCGGCCGCGAAAGGCCCCTCCCCGGCCCCCAGACCCTCGGGCTTCATAACCATCATCATCTCGCTAGGGTTTCTGGCTTCGCTCTGCTCCGCGCTCTCCAGAACACTTGGGCCGCGTTAAGTAGCTCCCGGCCCAGCCCCGGATCGGATTCGCGCTAAATATGGGGAGGAGGGAGGGGCCTGATGGGGGCGAGGGCGCTCGGGTCGGGACCGGGCAGAGGTTGCCCTGGGGCCAGGGGACTGCAGGACCTGGGGGCGCTGGCGTGGATCCCGTGACGGAGATCCGGGGTTCGCGTTCCGGCTCTGCCGCTTGGGTGCTGTGTGACCTTGGGAAAGCCACAGGCCCTCTCTGAGTCTGTTTTCTCATGTGTACAATGGAGATGATAATAGTGGCTATAGACCGCTCTAAAAGCTGCCCTTTGGGCCTGTTCTGACCCTCTTCCTGAGAGGTGCTGGTGGGAAACAGGGAGCCCTATCCCCATTTCACAGTCAGGAACACCAAGGCGCGGAGATGTTTTTAAAGGTTTTCTGGGGTGGTAAAGGGAGACACTCGAACATGGGGAGGGGCTACAGGCCAGCTGGATAGGCCGATGGAGAGCTATTAATATCGGGGCGGCTGGGGTCGAGGGGGAATGTGCTGAGCCGGGAAACCCCGACGCCACCGAGGGTGCAACTCAATCCCGCAGGCACACAGGATAGCCAGGCTGGGCTTCTGCGGGAGGGGAGGGGCCTCGGTGGGTGGGCGCGGCCATAACGGCGCTGCCCTACTGGGCTCAAGCGCCAACAGGACTCCAAGCGTCTCCGGGGCTCTTTCGGCCATCCAATCACATCTCCGTATCTGCAGTATGCTCCGCGTGACTCTAAACTCTCACAGCACCCCCTTTCAGAGCTCCCATTGGTTGTGGTAGACTTCCGTCTGATACTATCCCCGCCCCAATACGGAAGCGGCGGGGTACCCGGGATCCGACAGCGGGTGGGTCCGGGCCATGGGGCTGCCCTGGGCGGTGGGGAGCACGGAGGGAGCGCCCGTGCGGCTGCCCCTCGTGCTCACCGCGTTGTGGGCCGCGGCGGTGGGTCTGGAGCTGGCCTACGTGTTGGTGCTGGGTCCCGGGCCGCCCCCGCTGGGACCCCTGGCCCGGGCCTTACAGCTGGCGCTGGCCGCCTTTCAGCTGCTTAACCTACTGGGCAACGTGGGGCTCTTCCTGCGCTCGGACCCCAGCATCCGGGGCGTGATGCTGGCCGGCCGCGGTCTGGGCCAGGGCTGGGCGTGAGTGGGGCGTGAATGGGGCGCGGGATCCGGCGGGGAAGCGGGAACCTTGGACAGGGGTAAGGGCCCTAGCTCATGAAAATGTTAGAACTAGATTCCTATAGGATCCGCTTGTTAGAACCGGAGAGAACTCCTTTAGAACCTGGGATGGGAGAGCCAGAAGGAGTATCATTCACTTACAAATGTTTACTGAGTACCTACTCTGTGCAAGGTACTGTTCCAGGTACAATAGGTACAATGAAACAGGTTCCTGACCTCCTGGAGCTGATTTCAGTGGAGGAAGGAGCAGATGATAAACTATCGGCAAAATAAATAAGCAAGTTACATAGGATGTTAGAAAATGGTGGTGGTAAGGAAACAAAAAAGAGGGCAGGGTAAGAGGGGTGCAAGTTGCAGTTTTAAATAGGGTGGTCGAGGTGGGCCTCATTGTGACGGCGGCATTTAAACAAAGACTTGAAGGAGGTGGGGAGTTAGCCATGTGGGAATTTGGGAGAAGAGTGTTCCAGGCATAGGAAACAGACAACATAAAAGCTCTGAGGCCGTTATATGCTTAGCATGTCCCAGGAACAGCAAGAAGGCCAGCGTGGCTAAAGTGGAGCAAGAGACGGGGAGAGAAGTTAAACATGTAACGGCGAAGTAGGACATCGAAGGCTTTGCTATTTACTAGAAGTGAGGTGGAGAGCCACTGGAGGGTTTGCACAGAAGAGGGACATGACTTAGATTTTTAAGGATCAGTCTAGTTGTGGGGGTGCGACTACCTTAGGAGGGGACAAAGCTGGAATCAGGAAGACCAGGCAAAAGGTTGTTGCGATTATCCAGAGGAATCCACGGTGCCTTGGGCCAAAAGGTGACTGGAGGAAGTGAGAAGCTTGTTCCTGGATGTTAGAGGCCAGAGAAAGGCCTTAGGACTAAGGATATCAGAGCTGGAAGTGACCTGCAGAGCTAGGACTGGAAGGGCCTGGGAGGTGGTGTTCAGCCTGCATTTACCTATGAAGAACCTGAGGCTTAGTGAGGCCAGCCTCTGCCTCCCCAGGACGGGCTCCCAGGCAGGAGACCGGGCTCTGAGGGCTGCCTGGAAAACTGACCCTGTGGTTCTTTCCTTGCAGTTACTGCTACCAGTGCCAGAGCCAGGTGCCGCCACGCAGCGGGCACTGCTCCGCCTGCCGCATCTGCATCCTGCGTCGGGACCACCACTGCCGTCTGCTGGGCCGCTGCGTGGGCTTTCGCAACTACCGGGCCTTCCTGTGCCTGCTGCTCCATGCCGCGGGTGTCCTGCTCCACGTCTCTGTGCTGCTGGGCCCCGCCCTGGCAGCCCTGCTGCGAGCCCACTCAGCCGTCCACACCGCCACCCTCCTCCTGCTGCCCTGGCTCATGCTGCTCACAGGTGGGAGCCTGCGAGGCCTCCACAGAGAGGCAGAGGCCCTAATAGTGGGACATTCTGGTGGGAAATGGGACTTCCGGCCGGTTCTCCTGGCCATACCCTGGGGACCCAGTCCCAGTGTCATTTATGGGGGATGAGGTACTCAGCTGGGGATGCAGCATGGTCAGGTACGGTTCCTGAACATAGGTGCAGAGATCTGACTGGCAGAACTAGGGAAGGGCTTCGGGGGCACTGGCAGAGGAGGAAGGACTAGAGGAAGGTCGCTGCGGGGAGCACCCTATGGGCGGCCGTTCTAAGCGAGGGCTGGATGTTGGGCAGGGAGCAGCGAAGGCAACTGGTGGGGATTGTAAGAATTAAGGCTAGGACGGCAGGTTAGGACTGGATGCTGCAGGTCATGAATGCCGGCGTGAGGAGGCGGCCCTTACTTGACTGGACAGTGGGGAGCCAGTGAAAGTTACAGGCAAGCGAAGAGCCAGTCTTTGGAAGTTGGGAGGGAAGACTTGGATCAGGAGGCTGATGGAGAGGCTAGGTCTAGATGACACATTTATTCCTGTTTCCTCTGCCACCACCCAAGATTAAGAGCCCCACTGGTGTTTTACACTCTTTGCTTTGTTCCCCACAAAATGCCCTGGGCTTTCTCTCCCCTGACTCCTCCCTCCTGACCTCTCCACCCACTGTGACCTCTGTGACCTTGTCCCGCACTGACTAAACTCCCGGACCATTCTGAGCAGTGGCTGGGTCTCCTCATCACATCCAAGCCCAGCTCTGTCCCAAGGACCCCCGCCCTGCAGCCCCGGCAGGGGCGGCCTCAGGAGGCCGCGTGGGGTTGTCACTGTCTTCCTTCGCCCACGCTGGCTTCCTGAGCAGCCCCCCCTTGATGGTGCCCTGCTTCCAGGGAGCCTCAAGCCCTGAAGCCACACTCCCTGCACCCCACCTCCCTGCGGTCCTGTCACTGAGACTTGGGCTCCCGCTCCCAGCCTCCCTCTCAGCCCTGGGCCCTGTTGAAATCACGGTGTCTGAAAGTCTGTCAAACGACCTATTCAGTGCCTCACTTGCTCAGCTTCTTCACCTCCTCCTCCCTGTTACTTCCTTCCCCTACTCCCATACCCACATCTCAGACTTTGTCAGAATTAAGGACGCTGTCACCTCCCAAAGCGCCATCGGCTGCCCCCTCTCGGCTCCCACCATCTCTTCTTTTGTCCACCTGTCACTCTTCCGCTCCGCCGGCCCTGCTGGCCGCTGACCCTCCCCTTTCTGCCGTCAGTACCTCCCCACCTTCGCCGCCCCGTGCCCAGTTCGGAGCCCTCCTTCTCACCATTCTGCCAACATCTCAAACCACTTTGCCCCATCTTCCCCTCACTGTGCCTTCCTGGCTTCTCTGTGTCACAGAGAGCGGAGAGGCGCCACAGGTGCGTGATATTTCATGGCAGGTTGGTACAGGCCACTGACATCAGCAAGCCCTCCGCTGTGCCTGGCTGTCCTAGCCTCTCATAAGCCTGCCCCCCTTCATGACTGCGGCCCAAACCTTCCGAATTGCCTGTCTTCTAAGGGCCCAGCTTTGGAAAATCTATCACAGAGAAGACAAGGCATCAGCTGGTACATCCGAGCTCTGTCCACAGAGCTCTAAGCCAGGCCGACTGGCCCCCAGCTTCTCCTCGGAGGCCTCACGCTGTGGGTGGCCTTTCCTCCTGCCTCCCCAGGCTCCCTCTGCTGGCTGCCTCCGTCCCCGACCACTCCCCGCCCCCCCAACCCTTTCTTTCCCCCACATCCTCCTCTAGCTCTTGCCCCCGGCTCTTCTCTCAGTAGCCAACCTTCTCCAAGGACTTGCCAGGGCTCATGGCTGCTTTCCCTCGCCCCCCACGCATTCCTCCCCCTGCTCCAAACTGGCTTCTGCCCCCACTGCCCCTCCGAGGCACGGTCCCAGGCCTCTGTCTCCACAAAAGCCAGGAGACCCTTTCGAGTTTTCTTGCCCCATGAGACCTTTCAGCCTCATAAAACTGCTGACCTCTAACTTCCTTGGAGGGCTGTCTATCTTTGGTCACAGAGGGCATGTACTTGGACTTCCTCCTTTCGGGTTTTCCTTTCTCTTCTTATCTGGCTCCTAAGGGCCTGCTTTCCTGGTGCTGAGGTCGAGGCACCGTTCTCATCTCTCTCTACCTGCACTGGCTGTGTACCAACTCCCCGTAGATCCGTCCAGGCTGGGCTTCTCTCCTGAGCTTCCAGAACCATCCACTCGTCTCTCAGGCAGCTCTCCGATCAGGACCTTCAAATAGAATGTTTTCTCCCTTCTTCACATAGCAAATACCTCCTTAACCCTCAGGCACCACCCAAATCATTACTTCATCAAAAGAGATGAGGTCCGCTTCCGTAAGCCTTAATAAGTTTGCAGGGCATTTCCTTTCACAGGCTCTTTGTTGGAGTAAAATTTACGTAATACGAAATGCATCCTTTTAACTGTTTCCAAGTGCACAATTCAGTGGCATTTTGTACTTACAATGTTGTGCAACCACCACCACTAATTCCGGAATGTTCTCACCGCCCCAAGCAGCAGCCCATAGGTACCCATTAAGCAGTCACTCCCCATTCCTCCCAAATCCCCCCGCCCCTGGCAACCACTAAACTACTCTGTGGATTTGCCTATATGGGCTATTTCATATAAATGGCATCATATGACATGTGACCTTTCGTGTCTGGCTTCTTTCCCTGAGCATAATGTTTCTTGGCATCTTGTAGTTCTTAGTTCAGCAGATACGTTCCCTGCTGCAGGCCGGGATGGTCTAAGACTCTACTTTGCCAGTATAACACACAGCACAGCTGTGAGTAACTGAGAAGGGATCTCACGGATGTTTGTGAGCTCCCCGAGGTCAGAGGGGCCATCCACCGCGCACATTCGCAGTGCCTGGCACCGCATCCAGCACGTGGGGGGTGCTCCCAAGTTTGTGATGCGTGAGTGAAAGTTGTCTGTAAGGTGGGGGGCTGCGTCTGCCCGGGTCACTGGTGTTCCCATCCCCTGCCGCAGGGTCCTGCCAGGGAGCAGGGACTCCGAGTTTGCTGGGGAGGGATGAGCCCTGTTTCGTGGTGGGCAGCCAGGGTGGAGGGCAGGCCGGAGCTGGGCTTTGGGGGACTGGGCCCGATGCTGCCCCCTGACGCGCTCTGCTCTCTCCTCGCAGGCCGAGTGTCTCTGGCGCAGTTCGCCCTGGCTTTCGTGACTGACACGTGCGTGGCGGGTGCGCTGTTGTGCGGGGCCGGCCTGCTCTTCCATGGGATGCTGCTGCTCCGGGGCCAGACCACCTGGGAGTGGGCTCGGGGCCAGCACTCTTACGACCTGGGCCCCTGCCACAACCTGCAGGCGGCCCTGGGGCCCCGCTGGATTCTGGTCTGGCTCTGGCCCTTCTTGGCCTCCCCATTGCCGGGGGATGGGATCACCTTCCAGACCACAGCTGATGTGGGACCCGTGGCTTCCTGACTCCAGGAAGAGCCAGAGCTGAACAGAGAGGGGAGAGCGAGAGGGGGGCTCATAACGCATTTCAGGCCCACCCCCAGCCTCAGGAGGGGAGGCAGGCTGGTACTCAATGCCTGCTTATGGCAACTCGAGCCCCATCCTTGGCCTTGCCCCTGCCCGGCTCGGACTCCGAGTATCCGGGGCTTAGGCCCTGCAATTCTGCCTCTGTCAGTGGCCACCAAATGCAGTGGAGGGTCTGGCAAGAGGCTGGTCTGGCAGCCTCGCTGCCCCCTTGCCAGGTTAATAAAGTGCCCACTTGGTTCTTGGACTCCCTCCATCTTTGTGGGTTTCTGGTCCCTTACAGTTGCCTGGCTGCTGTTTCACGTTCCTTTGGTTATCACGCCTGGGAATGACAGAATGCCCGAGCCTGTGAGGGGCCGGGGCTCTGCCTCCTGTGGCCTCGGCGGGTAGGTGTAGGGGCACCTGCAGGCGGCATGTAGTGACCCAGGGTATGGGAATGTAAAATTCTTCCCCAGGTTCAGTGCTTTATAGTTAGAAGCAGTTCCCCACAACAATTTCACTGAACCTCTCTCCAGCTAACCCGGTCCTGACCCAGTCTACTGGGCAGCAATTACGCAGGTAAAAAACGTAAAGCTATGAGAGTCAATGTGGTAAGGTCGCGGGGTAGTAAACGGAGGAGCCAGGGTTTGAACCCGGACTGTTGTGCTTTCACCTTCACCCCTGCACAGCTGAGCGGGGACAGTGGGACAGTCAAGGCAGAGAAGTTAGGTGCGGTGTTGAGTGTCTGTTCAGGAGCTACTTGTTAAACAATTTTATTTAAATATAGTAACTAGAGTTAAATGTGGTAGGTTTTAGCACATTGTCTGTATCCTCTTAAAATCTAAGATGGTAGTAAAGAGAAAAAGATGTAAGTTTACAAGAAGAAAATAGGAGGGAGACAGCGGTAAACCAAAGAGCCTGCCTCATGTACTCTCTTAGCAGAGAAGCAGAAGCTGTACTCCCAGAGGGAGGGAGCCGAGAGGCAGCCACATTGCCCCCGGAACTCTGGGGAGGCTCAGGAATCCCACCAGCACCTCGGAAGGCAAGGTTTGCGGCTGAGGCAGGAGGGGCCAATCCGAAGTCTAGGATGCCCCTCCCCCCAGTACCCACCCCACCTCTCACAGTCCAGCAGCTACCAGTCTGGGGTGAAGGAGGGGGCTATGTGAAGCAGCTTTGGGTCTCAGGAGCACTGGGGAAAGCAGGGATGAGAAGCAGGACAAAAACTGGGGTTCAGCAAAAGTCTACAGATGTTGCTCGGGTGCGGGTCTTCCAGTGACGTGGAAGGCTTGCTGGCCAAGAACCTCAGAGAAGTGCCCCTTCTGGCAGGCCCTGCACGTGCCCACGAAGGTTTCAGCTGCTGGGACTTTGGTTTTTCCAAAGGGCACGTACTATCACTATTGTGTGACTGTACAGCACGTGGTTGCCTGGCACTCCGCGCGGTACACGAGCGTTGGCAGGCCGCCTCTCTGCTCCTTTGCTTTACCACCCCACCCCCAAAGATCTTGTTTTTTATTAAAAAGGAGATGCAAGAAAATACTTATAAAATAAAGAGAAACAACACCCTCCCACCCCCATTTAAGAAATGGGTGCCATTTCCTGGGATCTCCCTGTTGTGCCCCTCCCTGGCAGGGGACACATTGCTGTCTTAGTCATTCCCTGGCTTTGCTTTGTAATTTCATTACATGTTTGTATTGGTTTTGCATGTTTTTGAATTTTATATAAATGGAATCACACTGTGTTTTTCCTTCTGTGACTTGCTTTTTCACGCAATAGGATGTTTCTTAGATTTGTCCAAATTATTGTGTGCAGCTATGAGACGTTCCTTCTTGCTGTATAGTGACCCTCTGAATATGCCACAACTTATTTTCTATTTTGTCCTGCCGGTCACTTTATCTATCCCTGTGTATGGTCCCCTAAGATCTAGTCTTGGTCCTTGCACTTCAGTATAGGTTTTGGAATCAGCTTGTCAAGTTTCACCAGCAGAAACACCTTTGAGATTGTGAATGGAACCCACTGAGTCTACTGATCATTTTGGGGAAAATCGACCTCTACATGAAATTAAATTTTCTAGTTAATTCCATTTTGGTCTGAGAGCAGACATTGCATGGTTTCTATTCTATTAAGTTTGCTAAGGTGCATTCGATGGCTCAGAATGTGATCTAGCTTGGTACATGTTCCATGTGAGCTTCAGAAAAATGTGTATTCTGCCGCTGTTGAAGTAGCCTACAGATGTCAGTTATATCCAGTCGGCTGATGGTGCTGAGCTCAACTACGTCCTTAAATACCATAATTAAAGATTGAAGAGAGAACAAAAAGAGTTGAGAATTAAAATAGCCTTTTAATCAGCTTAACAATAATTCACAACCTTTGGACCAACTAAAATAGCATTTTAGAAACAACTTCAGAGAAGAGCTGAAAGAAAACATCTCTCAAAAAATAGAACAAAAGACAATATGAGAGAAGAGAGAAAATCAGAGCATCCATCCTGTTCTCTCTGGATTTACCAGACACTGGGTTTCATCAGAAATCCAGAGAGAACAGAGACAATGGGACAGCACTTTCTGGAAGCGAAGGACACACACCCCCACCCACAGTGCGACATAACAACACACAGTAAGGTGTGTCCTGACATTTCAGAACCTCCGAGAGGTGGTCAGGCACAAAAATAGCATGGAGCTTCTCAACAGCATTACCAACAATAAAAACAGGAGAGCACTGCTTAAAAGTGATTTTCTTTCATGAAAATGATTTTCAACTTCAAATTTTTTGGCCCAAACTATCACATATATGTATGCATTGAATAAAGAAAATTCAGACAAACAATGCCTTAAAGACGTTAACTCTAGTACTTTTTAAAGAAGGTCCCTGTGGAAACGCTTGACGAAGTGAGGGGTAACAGAACGACGGAGGAGGAAGCCACGGGCCGGGAACCAGGGCCTGGGCCAGCACGCGGCGGCGCGGAGCCCGGGGAGGGCCCTGCGGCAGGGAGGGAGGCCAGTGTCCAGAGAAGGAGGGACCGTCGGCCCGGGTGGGGGGAGAATAGCAACTGGTACACACAGAAAACTAAGCGAATGAGAAAAACAGGCTCATTATTCCATGAAAAATAACAAGTACCTCCAAAGTAATCTAATTACAGCCCAATTCTTGGCTTGCAGTGATGGCCTTTCAGGTAGTCCTACAAACCGTAATGCAAACAGCTCCGAGTTACCCAAGAACGAGAGGAAAGGGAGGGACAGGCTGCTGTCACAGAGCCGCTGCCTCATCCCTTACAACAGGGAGCCAACAGGCAGCCCGTGAGACTGCTAGGTCAGGTGAGGCGAGGCTGAGCATGTTACAGAAACACGTTGCGACAACGGGAGACGACGAGCAGGGGAACAGCACTGGGGACCGGGGAGAGGCTCTTCTTACAAACTTACTCCATGGTACTAGGTAGGTAGGGAGTTTTAGATATATATTTTTTGTAAAGGACCCCACCTCTCCTCATCCTTAACATGCACTTTTTCCCGGGGCCCTGACTGGTGAGGGCACTGGGCCCTGTCCCTGTCCCTGGTCTCGTTCGCTTTGTGCACAGTCCGCTGCACCGCAGCTCGTGTGTTTAGCAACAGCACATGGCACGTGCCGCACAAACTCCCAGTAGGTGCTGGGCACAGGAGCGGATTCTTGGCGCTCATCACAGCCGTGCGCAGGACCCAGAGCCACGTTTTCGTTCCTAGTTTACCCAATTCATCATGTGACTGGGGTGAAAGGGAGCATAAGGTCATGGGGCTCAACTTTCCAACCCCGGGTGGTGACAGCCCAGCCCCAGTGACACAGCTCCAGGGATGAGGAGCTCACACCGTCCAGGGCAGGCCCCTCCTGCCTGGGAAGCTCTCAGAAAGCCCTTCCCGCGAAGTCCAAGTCTCTCTGAGTGACACTGCCTCTACCTGTCCTTCATTTCCAGGTCACACCTCCTGCTGGTTCCAGCTGAGCCTCACCCAGTGGGTCTATGTCCGCCAGTGGCTGGACCATAAGGGGAGGGGGAGGGGCTCTTTTTTGGTTTAGACACTTTGTTTTTCTTAACATGGCCCCAGAGTGCATTCCTGGGGGGACGGGGTGGCTGTGGGCTGTTACCCAGGCCCTCGCTGGGCCTTGGGCTCAGAGGCTGCTGTCTGGCCGTGGTAGTCAGCCCGGGCCCTTGGCCTCCAGGGCAGAAGCTCTGCAGCTACTCCTGTCCAGTGCCCCTTTCTGGAGACGACTCCCCACCTCCTCTAGAGGGGCCTCTAGAGGCTCGCAGGGTGTGAGTGCCAAATCTGGTCTAACCGCCCCACTTTACACATGGGGAGACTGAAGTCCCCAGGGATTTGGTTACTTCCCGCAAGCCTGAGCTGTTGCCACACACCAGGCTGCTCCTGGCCGGAGAGGGGAAGCTACAGGTCGTCCGGGAGCAGGGCTCCTGGCTCGCAGGAGGCCCACCAGGGTGCTGTGAGGTGGGCCAGGCAGACTGGCCGCAGCTGTGGGGCTCTGGCCCTTGTAGCCTAACCAGGTGCCTTGACTGGTCTTCGGCCTCCCTCAGGCCTCTGGTCCGTACCTTTCCAGCTAATTCCCTCCCACCAGAGCCACTGCCAGGTGAACTTTGCACTCACACGACTGCTCTGGGCTCCAGGGTGTAGAAGCGCATCTTGGCTGGCAGTTCTGGGCTTCTGCCTCCTGTGCCACCTCCCCTGGGCCTCAGAAATGTTCCTGCTGTGCTCCCTCACACGCTGCCTGTCTAGCTGAGCCTTCCTCTCCCAGAGGCCCATTTGGGCCCCAAGCACCCCAGTCGGCATCAGTGGCTGTGTGGCCTTCGGGAGCCTGGCAGGGGCTGGGGTCACTAGCTCCCTGCACAGGCGCCCTATGCCCTCGTCAGAGCCTCGCAGGCCTGAGACTTGGAGCCCAATATTTCAGAAAAGCCCCGTGTGGTAAGGCAGCTGTTCTCTGGGCCCCCTGAATAGGAAGAAGAGCCCCTCCTCAGCTCATGAGGGGAGATCAGAGCATGTGTTTTGCTTGCAAGCTGAACTGGCAGCAGCCAAGCCTCTGGAACCTTGGGGAGCAGCAAGTGCTCAGTCTCACCCCAGAAAAGCCCTGACTGTCCCAGGTCAGGCCCTGGCCAACTCCGGCCTGGGCTGGCAGCAACGAGCGACAGGAGAGCGGCAAAGGAGAAGGCTGGGCCTCTGCCCCTCGTCTCACCTTGACCGCTTCGGAGCGCTTCCTCTGGACCAGGGTGTGGCTTCTGGAGGAAGGTGGGGAGCACAGAGTGGCAGGAGCCAGCGGGCCAACGCCTGCCTCCTCCTGAGAAGAGAGGAGCTGGACCTCCTGGGTACGTGCTGACCTGCTGTGTCACCCCACGGTTGAGGTGGTGAGAAAGGGGCGCTCAGGAGGGCAGAGGGAAGCTGTGGCCCCCGCCCCCTGCTGTGCAGGGAGTGGTCCTGGGCCACTGACTTGCCCAGCTCGTGGAAGGGGCTGGATCTTCCTGGTCCTGATTCGGAAGGGGCTTTAACAGCAGCCCGGGGGTCAGGCAGCTGCCAGCCCCTCGCTCACAGGCATGTTGATGTGGACGCTCAGCAGGGGTGCACTCTGGCCTTCTCGAAGCACCAGCACCTGCGGAGGAAGCGCCCATGGCAGCAGGGGTGTGCACCCAGGGGCCCCTGCCCCCTGCAAAGGCCAAGCCTGGCCTGGTGGGCGCGGGCCCTAAGGACAGGCCACCAGGGCTCTGCCACACGGGACGGGGAGGCCTGTACTGTGCAGGCACCCACCCTGACTGGCCTGGGAGCCCCTGGGGGCCTTGTCCACACTCGCTCCCACTGTCCCCCCCCAGCAGCACCAATGGCGGCCCACCTTGATGACGTCTGAGATGCCCTTGTCACTGAGACTCTCCACAAAGGTCTCCAGGGGGTAGCTGAGCCCGGGCACCAGCAAGGGGATCTAAGTTCAGGGACAAAGAGGTTAAGAAATGGGCTCTCATGCCAGGAGAGCCAGGCTCTTCATTCCGCGGAAGGCTCTCCTTGAGGCGGAGATGGGCCCCCACAGCCGCTGCAGGAGTGGCTGTGAAGCAGGGCGGCTCTGGGACCCCCCCGCCGCCCCCCGCACGGAGAGGCTCTGGCGAGAGGCACAGCAGGAACATGGACGCGGCTCCTCTCCGGGCTCTTGCTGTGCGGCTCTGAGGCCTCTCGCAGGCTGGGAGGAAGGCCGTTGAGGCGGCTCTTGGGTGCTCTCCCAGAGGCCCTACTGTGTCCCAGCCCGCCCTGCGGCTGCGGCCACCTGCCAGCCCTCTCCCCCGCCTGGTGGAGGCTCTGTGGGCATCTGATCAGCACCCACCCTGCCCCTCTCACCCCATGTCCCAGGGAGGCGGGTCAAGCACCTTGAAGAAGGCCCGGGGCAGGGCATAGAGCGCCTCGTCGTACAGGAAGCAGGCCAGCAGCCCCAGCAGGGGGCGGGCTGTCGAGGTGTTCTGCAGGTGCAGTGTGAGCTTGAAGGTGGGGCCCAGGCCCTGAACCTGTGGACACAGTGGACTGGGTGGAGAAAGCCCTTCGGACCTAGAGGCCTTGAAAATACGATGTGCCCCGGCCTTGCCTGCCTGCTTCCTCCTCAGTGTCCTCGAGCCACTTTCCTCCAGCTGTTCTAACACATTGTCCCTCTGCTCCTCAGAAACCAGAGGAGCCCAGAAGGTTGGCTCCAGTGGGTACGGGGATCAGCAAAGGTCCAGGGAGGGGAAGGGGCTTGTTAGAAGCCACTTGGCGAGTTGGTCAGAGGCAGAGCTCGCCTCGGGACACAGGCCCCAACTCCGACCTGCGCCCTGACTGTGGCCCTTGCCCGCTCCCCAGGGCCTGGCCCATCTCCCCTCTCCTCCTACAGTGGCCACAATGATTTTATTTTCCTCCCTCTTACCCTCAGCTGTTCTGTAGCTTCTTCCTCTATATCTATATACTTTCTTTAGGGAAAGAGAAATCAGAAACCCAGTTGGGACAGACGGCACACCTCAGGGACCCTTTTAGAAGTGCTTGGAGCCCTGAAGACCTTGAGGCCACTTGTGTCTGAGTGTGGGGGCTCCTCGGCCCGACCCCTGGGCCTGGGCAAGCCTCAGGATGGCCCCTCCCCTACCGGGCGGCCCTAACACCTCGGTGCCCATGGAGAGCTGAAATGGACAGCCTTCTCCCGTGTCACAGGTTCCTGGGAGGGAAAGTCCCAAGGTGACTACTTGTGCTCCCTGCCCCAAGCCCGAGGGCTTGTCTGAGGCACAGATGGAATGAGGGGGCTGGAGCGTGGCTGCCTGTGTGGCCAGCCTTGGGGAGGGGGTAGCGCAGGAGAGGGAAGGGGCGCATATGCTCACGAAGGAGGATGTGAAGCTTGCGCCTGGGCCCGTGGGAAGGAGGGAAGGGGGCACAGGACCTAATTGGCTTGGAATTGGCTCTGGGGCTGAAAGGTTCCCAGCCACCGCTGACCTCTGCCCCTCTGGCCCTGAGGATGCAGACCCTGCCACCCCACCCCGCTCACCACAGCGTGTAGCTTGAGTGGCTCCCGGGCTGTGGCAGACACAGGGCTCAGGCTGGACTCGAGGGCCTGCACGTAGGCGCGGGCGGCCCGGAGGCGCAGCAGGTAGAGGTCGGTTTGGAAGGTTCGGTGCATGGCTGAGGAGAGACACAAAGAGCTGACGCTGGAGGTGGGGAGGCGAGGCAGGGTGGGGGGCAGGGGGCAGGGAGTACGTACAAGAGGAACGTACACTGGGGTGGGGCTGCAGAGGCTGGGAATGTCGGGAAAGGAGAGCCGAGGCCCAACAGCCCAGCCTTCTGATGACCTGGATGGATGCTGGATCACTCCCTGCTTCCCCCTCCTGGTTCCCCTACCACCTGGCTGCCAGCACAACCTCAGCGTCCTTTGCTGGCTCCTCCCATTCCACCACAGGACTGGTGCTTCCTCAAGTCTTGCCCTTGGTCCTCTTCTCCCTCGAGTCTTCCTCCCCCGGACAATCCATGCCCATGCCCTTCCCCAGCCATGACCACCCCGACGAGGAACAATGGGAGCTTCTGACTGCAGGGGCTCGCGGCTGCTGGGTCCTCAGTGCCCACCTCAGGGCCTGGCCGGTGTCCCTACTTGATACGGCATCACCAGCCGCTCAACCCCAGGACAGCCTCCTGCTTACAACTGCCTATGGGTCGCCTGCACGTGGACGTGCCATCGCCTCCTCAGGTTCTGCACTGGAAACCAAGCTCGCCTCCCTGCCTCCAGCAGGTGTGCCACCATCCAATCTCCAGACTCACCCCTCACATCTGACTGTCTGTCAGGGTCGGTGGCTCATCCTCAAAGTTGTCTCCAAGCAATGCCTGCCCTGCTCCTGTGGGCGTGCCTTTCCAGACTTAGCACCTGGCTCTGCCAGTCTGTCCTTGACTTCACATATGAGGTGCTTTTTGCCATCCAGAAATTGTATGTCTTTATGTTATCCCAGCTATTATCCTTTCCTTTTCCTATAATACATTTACTGTTTATTTTCAATTTACCCAGAATTATTTTTGTGTTTGGTATGAGGTAGAGCTCTACATTTTTTTTTCCTGGAAGCAAGTTGTCCTAATTACATTTTGTGGACAGTCTCTGCTTCCCCACTAACTTGAAACAACACCTTTAACCTACACTGACTTCCACATAGACAAGGGTCTGTTTCTGGGCTTCCTAAACATGCCCTTGGTCTCTGTTGATTCCCATGTCAATTGCACAGCTGGGAATTCCCACAGCTTCACAGTTCGTTCCAGTGATGGGCTAAGTCCCCTCATTCTTATTTCCCCAGAATTTATGAGATTTACTGTTAAAACCAATTGGTCAAGTCCTCAAAGCAAATCCCAGTGGAACTGAATTGTCACTTTCTTCTGTTTCTTGAGTAATTTTAGAGGCTGTTAATTAATCCACAGCATTATGGCATTAGGTCTTGCTACGCTGCAACTTGGCAAATCTCATCATTTCAGGTGGCCTTTTATGTTCTTCAGATAAGTTTTATAATTTCTTTTATTAGACTTTGTATGTCTTCTTGTGAAGTTTATTTCTAGTGATTTCCTTGCTATTGTGAACGAAGACTTTCCATTGTATTTACTAACTGGTTATTGCTGGTATACACGAGAGCTACTGATTTTTGCATATTTTACATTTGGTAACCGTAGAGAACTTCCTAATTATTTCTCCGATATCTCAATTGCTTTTCTTGGGTTCTTTAGGCTATACCAGGCTGTTAGTTATTTTCTTTATCCTCGAATTCACTTTTAAACAGCAAGCAAGATCCCTTTTTAAGACAGAGCTGATTGAGTTACTATATTTTTCTGCTTCACATCTTTCCCAGCTCCCACTACCCAGATTAAACAGAGACATCTTAGCTTTGCGTCCCAGGCCCTTCCAAAGCCGGTTCTGACCTGCCTTCGCAGGCGCCCCCTGGCCACTCGGCCTCGCTGTGCTGTGCCCACAGCTCCACGGCCGATGCTGCTGGCACCCGGGGGGCCCCGCGCCCCTACCTAACTCCCCCGAAGTCGCCCTTCCCTGTCCCTCTGGCTGGTGGACTTGTAACCACCTTCAGGGTGAAGTCCAGCGTCACCCTCCTCTGAAGCCTTCCCAGTCTCCCAGGCAGGCTTACTCCTGTGCCTCGGTGGCCCTCTGCAGAGGCCTTTCCCCCAGCTGTCACGCCGCACGGAGTTACCCCAACAGACTGAACTCCTCAGGTGGGTGCCTGGCCCGGGCCTGACATTCACAGGTGTGGGATGAATAAATAAGCAGGAAAAACTGAACAGGAAAAGGACGGACCCTGGTCAAACTCGACTTCTTTCACAAGGATTCCTGGATCTAAACACTTCTCTGAGTCCCAAGGGCTCTTGCCCTGGTGCACAGCACCTTCCACCTGAGGCACAGTTGTCTGCAGGCAGGGTGTGCCTCCTCGGCTGTCCCAGGACGACCAGAGGCGCCAGACCTGCCCCCTTTGCCCAGGCCTCCTCCGCTCAGGCCCCCGGGCAGCATCCACCCTGCTCCTGCTGCCTCAGGGCGGCGGGGGAAGGGCGGGAATCTGGCCTGAGTCTCACCGGTGCCGGCCTCCCGCTCTCGCAGTGTCTGGTCCACATAAAGCCGGGTCTTTCGGGGCACATTGAGTTTCGTGGCCTGGGCCGGTGGCGGGCCCACCTCACCTCCCCCCTCCGCAAACACGGCTGTGCGCTTCAGGATCTTGATAATCAGTCCACCGCCTAGGGAAATGGACAGACAGACACAGATTTGTCCTCCCCAGTTACACCCGACATGCCAATCTTTCTTCCACCGTCTGCCTCATGCAGACCCACGGCTGTACATGTCTGTCCTGCGGCCCAGACTCCGAATTTCTGGAAGGAATGAAGTTTGTCTAAATCGTCTCCCACCACTAGCTCACTCACTCGTTTCACAGCTCTTTGTTGAGCGCTGTGACGGCCCTGGCGCTGCGGCAGGCGCCGGGGACACCGCACGGCCTGCAGACGCCCAGAGGTCATGATGTCACACTGCTGAGCTGCCCCCGGTGTCTGCCAGCCTTGCTTCCCACACCCAGGCCCTCCCGAGCCTCGAGCCTCCCGGCCGCCCCGCTCCGCCCCAGGGCTTGGCCCGCCCCCGTCGCCCCCGACGGAAAGCCCTCGCCAGGCCCGGCTCCTCTCACCTCGTGTGGTCATGACGAGGGTGTTATCTTCCCGCCCGTAGCGGCCAAAGCAAAGGCTGGTCACTGCTTCCTACAAGGGAGACGCTAGAGTTTATTTGGGAAAACGTCTTGGAGAAGACGGCACAACCTGGGGGTGGGGGGACCCCAGATACGACTAATGGGTGAGACGCCCAGCGAGGACGTGGGCAACGCTGTCTCTGGCCTATCGCCTCTCTCTCTAACCTCCCTTCCGGCCTCGCTGCCACGGCCACAGTTCCAGGTTAAACATCACTGGGCTTTTGGGGTCGGCTTCCCAACAGGCCTCCCGGCCTAGTGGTTCTCCCCAGTGTGTCCGTCACACAGCTGCCTTTGCTGCCTTTCAAAAGCGCAAACATGACAGTGCCGATTCTCTTCTAGGAAACCTCCAATGAATGGCTTTTGTCCTCCCTGTGCCCTTTCCACGTCTGATTCTAACCTGACTTTCCTGTCAGTTCTCCGCTCTTAACCCTCTCCCAGCCCACATGCCGCCTCCGCTCACGGCAGCCGCTTTCAAATCTACTGTGACATAGGGCCCTTTATACGTCCGTACATGAAAGTCTCACACGTTGCTGGTTGTGATCCATTAAATTGATTTAATGACTCACAATTTAGTGGTTGAAAAACTCTGGTCCAAGCTCATCAAATGACCTGGATTCCTTACTCAAGAACCCTCATGCCTCAGCCTTCTCTCATGCTGTTCCCTGTCTGGAATGCTGTTCCTCCATTTATCCACTGGGCAAACTGCTTTGGGGTCCGGCTGAATTACCACTTGCCCTATGAAGTGTCTGGTAAGTTCCATTCCCATTTACCCACCATCCGTGACTCAGGCTGCTCTGTGCTTTTTCAGCACCTTGCTTCTGTCTGCCTTGTATTTGAATTAGCTGTGTCTCTGGCTGGCTGTCACCTTGGATATCAAGATCCCCGAAGGCAAGCATTTCGTCATCACTTTATCCCGCCCCAATACAAGGAGTTGGGCACGTGAGGTGCTCGGCAAACATTTTTGAACAAATGTTCAAAACGCATTTGTCTGTGAAGTACATTAAGTCAGGGCGGCAGATGGTGTGGAATCAGGAGGCAGCCAGGCAGCCCTAGGGGTGGGCGTGGGACAAGGCCTCAGCGGCTCACCGGGGTGCAGATGACATCGAGCAGGGCCTTGTCACGGTAAATGCGGACCTCTCCATTGGCTAGCCCAGCCATGACGGCCTGCAGGCCCCGAGAGCGCTGCTCCATGAGGTTCATGGTCAGGATGGCCGCGGGCATCTGCACTGTCCACAGCTTCTTACCCTGGGAGGGAACAGCCAAGTGTCTGCAGGGGCCCCGGGGGTTAGGATGGAAAGAGGGGTGGCTGGAATTGCTGGGAAGGGGACGCCGGAAGGGCTCGCCTGCTAAGGGCGACCTGGGAGACACAGGTGGAGGGGTGGGGGGTGGCTCTTGCCCGAAGGCCTCACCTTGTGGGTGAAGCCATGCAGGCTATCTTGGGTGCTGCCCACCACCAGGACCTTGTGGACCCGGACGAGCCCCACAGGCTGGGCGCTCAGCTCGATGCAGTACTTGGGGCACTTGGAGTCTCTGCGGAGTAAAGACAGGCTCTCCCAGCCCAGAGAAACCCTCTCCCTCCCTGACAGACCCCCCTCTTTCTAAGCCCCACAGACCATCCTTGGCCCCAGAGCACATGACCATGGTGTTATTTTCACCTGTGCCACTTAACAGCTGCATGACCCAGCAGAACATGCAGTGTCCCTCCGCCTTCAGCACAGTGCTCTGTGTGGTCACCTGGCAGCTAACAGCTTACAGTGAGTGCGACCAGAAGTGCTAGTGGACTTAGGCATCTGCAAAGCTTATCCGAGGAGCACGGGACACCGCTCTGTGTCAGTGCGCTGTTCCCGTCTCCCAGCCTCGGATCTTAGTTCTCTTACCCAGAAAGTAAGGGGAGTTCCTGCCTGCCAATCTCAGGCTGTGGCCCACTGTTGTTCATCACCAAGTCTAGGCCAGCGTCACATCCCAACTCATGGGCCACCTGAGAGTCTCCCACTGGTGTCTGGGCCTCCTGCCAATCTACACTCCACCCAGCAAAGACTCTTAAAAATGTAAATGGATCATGTCATTCTTCTGATTAAAATCCCATAGTACTGCACTTCAGACAGGATCCAAAATGTTTACCACGTCCTAACGGGTCCTGCGCGGGCCAGCCTCTCTCCACGTCGCCTTTGTGCACCCTCCTCGGGGCCCTCCACGCTGGAGCAGCACATGCCAGCGTCTCCCCCCTTGAGCTGGCTTAAGTTCTCTCTGCCTACAACCCTCTTTCTGTGCTTTCTGAGTAACTGGCTCCTTCTCCGCCTTCAAGTCATGGGCACAGACAGGCATTTGCTGATCACCCCGCGCTATTATTTTTTCCCATGGAGCCTGCATTTTTCCCTCCACTGCGCACATCCAATTTGCAAAGTTATGTTGGTTTGTTGACTTTAATATCTGTTTCCCGTGAGGGCAGGAACTATGTTTATTTTCTTCCTCAAACCTTATACAATGCTTAAGTTAGGTGCTCAGAAACATTTCTGAATTAAAAAATGGATGTTGTAAGGAATATCAAACTACTGCACTGGGAAGGGTCACATTGCTATAAAGCAATGTAATGATTATAAGAGTATATTTATTTCTTGCATCTTCTGACTGCATTGCTCAGGTGGTACAGCCACCCAGCCCAGTCTCTCGCTTCGCCAGCCCCCGCCACACAAGCCTCCAGATCCCCCCTGTGCTCCTGGGTTCAGCCTATGTGAACTTCTCAGCTCTTTCCATTTCTAAATTCCAGCCCAAAGTCCCCTGCTCATCTTGCAAACCCCTGAAACCACCAGGTATCTGAGATGTTCCTTCTGGCCCTGGAGACGTGTAGCTACCTTCTCAGGATATAGACGTGCCCATTGCGGCAGGCAGCGGCGAGCCGGAACTCTACATCGAACTGGCCGGAAACCTCCAGGAAGACGGGGACACTGGGCAGGCTCATCTGCAAAGGAGAGGCGCAAACATCCCAATTTCTCTGGAGCCTCTCTCCTTCCCTACGCGAAGGAACCTGCTCCTTCAAGTTGGTTCTTTGTCTGAAGTCCCAACCTCCTCACTTATACCCTGCTGGTCAGTTTAAACTCGTACAGATTTTCCAGGGGGAAACTCAGCAACATGTAGCAAATGCCTTTGACTAAATTATGCCACTTCTAGGGATGTATCCTAAGGAAATATCTAGGTATGCATGACAAGACGTTTGGGCAAGAAAGCCTGCTGCTGTGGTGCTAATAATAGTGGACACTTAAGACAATTTAAACATATAATAGGTGACAGAGTAAATAAATTATGGCACATCTATATACTGGACACTGTGTGGCCTTTGAAAAGGTAGATGTGGTTTTATACAGATGTGGAAAGACACTGGTGACTACTGCTACATGAAAAGAGCAAGTTACATGATCCTGTACCACAAGGCCATTTTTGTAAAAAAAAAAAAAAGTGTGTGTGTGCATTTGTGTATATGGTAATCTGTGTGTAAATATGAAAATGTCAGAAAAGACATATGATGAAACCTTAATAGTAGATCTCTGTGGGCAGTGGGATTTATGCATATATATTTTTTCCTTCATGCTTATGCATATTTTCTAATTTTTCGCCAGTGAACACGCATTACCAAGGGCTGGGTGCAGGAGATGTGGGGGAACAGAGGGGCGGAACGCAGCCTGGGCCGGGCGTGCCCGGTGCCAGGCCCCACGCTGACCTTGGCCAAAACGGTGAAGGCTTCCGGGTCCAGCACCAGGAGCTCCTTGCTCTCAGTGCCCAGCACCAGGCAGGACACGGCATCCTCATCAGCCAGGTTTCTCTTTAAGGTGGTCATGGCGGTGATGACGGTCTGCAGGTGGACCCCAGGGGTCACCCGAGGGCCCCCACACACCATTCCCCCCAGACGTCCCAGGACACCATAGGAAGAAAAAGGGTAAAGCCAGAGGAAGAGAAGCGGAGACGCGAAAGAACATTTATAGACAAAGATGTTTATTGCAAAAATCTAACTTTCTTTAAAAAAAAAAAAAAAAAAAGGATGGTCTAAGTCAATTATGAACTATCCCTATGATCCTAAATCATGCAGCCATTTAAAAAAAAAAAAAATCACATTTTAAAAGAAGATTCATGCCCTGGCTGGTGTGGCTCAGTGGACTGAGTGTCAGCCTGTGAACCAAACAGTCACCCGTTCGATTCCCAGTCAGGGCACAGGCCTGGGTTGCAGGTCAGGTCCTCAGTTCGGGGTGTGCAAGAGGCAACCAATCAATGTATGTGTCACACATCGATGCTTCTCTCTCTCTCTTTACCTCCCTTCCCCTCTCTCTAAAAATAAATAAAATCGAAAAAACTTGTTTTGAAATTACCTATATTTTTTATAGGGAAATAAAGAGGAGGGGCATCACCTGACGTTTGAGGATCTTGGACTTGTGCTGGCTCACAAATGCCTCCATGTCACTCCGCTCCAGCTGCAGAAACCTGGCCAAGAGAGAACGGGCACCTGCCTGCCCTGTGCCTGGGCCCTCTGAGGCCACTCCCAGCCCCTCCCTCCCCCTGGAGCTTCCGGAGCCTCGGCTCTCCAGAGGGCCCTTACCTGAGCGACTGCACAGACAGAGGCACCTCTGCCTTCTCCCTGCAAGGAGAGGGGCGATCGTGGCAGGTGCGGCTGAGGAACAGGGCCCTGGGGTCACACCGGGAGCCCTGGGATGAAAGAGTGGGGCAGGTGGCAAGGGGGGCGGGGTGAGGCATCTGAAGGGGAAGGTGGGCTCTCACCGGATGCCTTCCAGCATCTCCTTCAGGGTCGAGGGGTCGATCCGGTCCTGTGACAGCATGGGAAGAAGGTAATGCCCGTGAGCTCCAGAGCCAGGCAGAGACAAGGATGAGCCCGTGGCTGCCATCTTGCCTTCTTGTTCCCATCCCCCACATCACTTACCTCCTTGGCCTGGTTCCAGAGATCACATTCCAGGGTGTTTAAAGGCAACTGGGGCAGGGTGAACTTGAAGTAGGGCCTGAGATTCTTGTACACGTAAACACAAGGGCCCGAAGCCAGTGCCAGAGCCGGTGTCCGGGGCTCGTGCTGATCCATGAGGAAGGTGGCAGCAGCGGCTGGTAGTGCAGGTAGTGGGCTTTCGGTCAGTACTCTGGGTCCTTTGAGCACCTTCAGACGGGACTGCCGCCCACTTGGGCCAAGGTCCCCCACCACCAGCTGTAGAGAGAGGCTGCCTTATTCCAGGTTCAGGGTCTAAAGACCTTTCCCCTGGCCTCCTTCTTGGGCTCAGCCTTTTTGCTGGTGCACATTCACTCACTCCCGCACCGGGGTCCATGGGGGGAGGAGGGCGATGACAAACACTTAGTGTAAGGCTTGTGAGCTCTGTGACCTTGGGAAAGTTGCTTAAACTTCCTGAGCTTCATTTTCCCCACCAGACAGATGGAAATATCTCCTTTGTGACACTTATAGTGAAAACCAACTGAGTACTGAACCCCAGAGCCTGGAGAGTGCTAGCGAGGAGGCAGCGGCAGCTGATGCGCTCACTGTCCGTTCAGGAAGCATTTCCTCAGGGCCTGCTCCACGACCGGCACTGTGCTAGACACTGGGACAGCGGCCGAGGCCAGTGGGGCGCTGAAACTCACACCTGGGCTTCTGCAGCCTGACTTGCAAATGGGAGCAGAGCTAAGGAAGCAGAAGCAAGCACGCAGAGCAGAATGTGCTCTGGGGACGCAGGGACAGGACAGAGCTCCGCAGTCTCTGTTTGTCACCCTCCAACCCATCCTCCAGGCCACTGCGGCTGCCGTGCAAGCCCCTTCTCCTGACCGAGGCCTTCCAGGCCCTCTGCTCTGGCTCCCAGCTTGTTTCCCATTACCTTCCCACCCATGCTTCGCTCTAGCCAGGACGGGGGCTGCCACAGAACGCGTGGGTTCTGAGCATGCACAGGGCACCAGTGCCCACACCAGGAACTTCATTTAATCCTCCCAGCAGCCTCTGAGGTAGGTACTGTTAGCAGTGCCATTCCACAAACGAGGAAGCTGTGCCTTAGCGATGTTAGCAAAAGTCACACAGCTAGTGAGTGGCAGAGCTGGGACTGGAACTTAGGTCCAACCGACTCCAGAGCCAGTGGTCTTAACTACTATTTTACACCGGCCTCAACTTTCTAACTCCAAATTTACTCTTTCCAAATGCGCTGTGAACTTCCGAGCCTCTGTGCCTCATGTCTGGTTGCCTTTCCCCGCTTCTCTTCGGTGCTTTCTTGAGGTACCTCATTCATCCTTCAACACCTACTTCACATGTTGCTGCCTCCTGGTGCCTCCAGGTAGACTCCATTATTCTCTCGCTGGTGCTCCCGTAATACTTTCCATTTCTATTTTAGCATCCATTCATTTACCCCAGAAATATTATCAAGTACCTAATTTGTGCCAAGCACTCGGCTAGACGCTGGGAAACAGTAAACAAACTAGCCATTAAAAAGGTTATCACACCAAAGCGTTCAACATTTCACATTAGTTAGTGGGTCTGATTTTTCTACGCTTCACTGCTGTAAACCCATCACCAAGCACACACGAGGTGTTCAGTCAGTATCACGGATGAATTAAGGATGCTGTCCCTATCTCCTCCCCGCTGTTCGCTGACTCATTTCTGAGTTCACTGTCTGCTTGATAACCGACACACAGTAGGAGGTCACGATGTTTGTTGAATCGCCGAGTGCTTTACAGATAGGAATTTGGAAGCAAAGGCACCAAATTCTACTGCATTCTCCATGAGGGTACGATCCCAGGGCTACATTCTACATTTTAGCTGCTCACCTAATACGCCCATTGTGGGTTCACTGCCCAAGGTGAAGGTTGCGCTATAGTGGAACAAACACGTAACTTGGAAACTGACAAACCCAGGTCTGCCACTTTTTACAAACTCAGTAAACTTAGCCTATCTGTCTCTATTTTCCCATTAACAAAGTGGGGATCAATAATATCTGTGTATGTGAAAATGCTTCAAAGAGGGTCTAGTCCAGAAATGGATATTCGATATATGTTGACTTCCTTTCTTAAGCCCAATACATTTTTCCAACATTTGTTTAAAAACTGTGCCTTTAAAAATTTTATGTCTTTATTTACATTTATCTTTATATTTGTTTAATCCTTTTTATTATGGAAAATTTTTAGGCATATACAAATGTAGAGAGATTTGTATAATAAACCCCCAAATACCCATCTTCCGGCTTCAACAATTATCTGCGCATGGCTAATCTTCAAATCTACACTCTCTTGATAAACATAAACATCACTTCAAGCCCCTTCTACTTCCCCTCCAGATTCAAACACCTGGCATCCAACCAAAAGATGTGCCTGCCCTTCCAGCAAAGAATTATGTCAAGTTAACAAAATTAAGTTTTGTCTTAATAAAATCCCCAGCAACAACTTCTGCTTTACTTTCTGCAGTTTGTATTATGAAATCTATGGATTCTCTTCACCCATAAAGATCTTGATCTTTATCCACATAAAGGTAAAATTTAACACTAAATGTGCTTTTTTAAGAGTACTCATGAATTCCAGAGTACGCTCACTTCTTTGGAGCCATCAAGAAACCTCAACTCCCGTATTTCTCCCCCAATTCGCTTTCCGCTGGAGTGCTACGCTTACCTTGTACTCCCCGTCCCCATGCAAATCTGCCAGCGCTGGAAAACACAAAAGGGCCATAAGCCAGGGTCTCCGAATCCCAGAGGCTTCACTACAGAACTGCACCTGCCTCCTCCACCTCCCCAGCCCCGAGAGTCCAGGTCCCACAGACTCACCCAGGCAGGCGGAAAAGGTGTGGATGTTGGCCATGGGGTCGTAGTGCGCATCCAGCCATTTCGAACTGGCCTCATTGCTGGGAGAGGATGGAAAAAGAGTTGGGGAATGAGTACCAAGGCGAGGGAAGAAAACTTTGAGGAAGCTGGTCTCTGAGAGGGAGGTGTGTGTGTGGAGTTCTGCACTGGGGTTTAGAACATCTGGGTCCAAGTCCAGGCTCCACCAGGGAGTAGTGACCTCGACATCTCCGCCCCTGCCTGAGCCTGTTTCCCTATTTGATCTCTAAGAGCCCTTCAAGGAAAGCCAGAGCTTTTCAAGACCCGCAGGAGCCCAAATCTCGGGAACCAGGACACCCTCTTCACATTTGTAGGAAAGGAGGCCTCGGAGACCCGGCCTTCACCTCTCAGCTTTGCCGCTGTCGGAATCCGACGAAGGCGCGGCTGCCATCTTTGCAGGCGTCGCCCTGGCAACCGGCTCGGGCCTGCAGCCGTGCAACACCCAAGAGCTCCGGGTTTCAGAAAGCCCGCGTATAAAGGTTCCCGGCGCAGCTTTCCCGCCGGGCCCTGAGAAGCCGCCTTGCAGGATGTGCTGGCTTCTTCCGGCCGAAGCGCCGTTCCCTCATTCCAGCTCATGTGATTTGTCTTTGCTCCTTCCCAACCACAGCATCTGGGCCCTGTCACTCTGGGTGGGCAGCAGGGCGCTTTGGCTTCAAGCCTGGAGAGGAGCCCTTTCGGTGTTAATGAGCAGCAGCAAAAGTGACTCATCGCCTCTTTAGGTTGAAAAGGGGCCATGTCCTTTCTTCCTGCTGCACCAAAAGGCCCAAACTCAGAAAAACAAAACACAACGCACTAGAGATTAAATCCTAGTATTCTGACTGACGTTGAGGCTTTCCAGTTTTTAGGCTCCCGGAAGTTTTCAAAATACAAGAAATGCCACAAAAGAGGACTGCAAAAATTGTCCTTTGCTCATTTTTGTAACTGTGTACATATCCATAGAGGAGGTGTGGACTTAAGTCTAAAGTGACCCTCCTGCCCCCTCTCCAGGCCTTGATCCCATTACCCTGCCAGAAGCAAAAGACAAGGAGAAATCGATCAAACGGTAAAGATGGTGGTTGTTTCTAATATTTATTTTTCTGGTTATAAAAGTAACACATGATGAGCACAGGGAGAGATGTTGAGTCCTGCAGGCCCAAGAGAGGTCACTCGTCAGAACTTCCATTTCCTCCTCTGGGAAGAGGGATGAGGCACGCTGCCGTGCCCACCTCACAGAGGGCAGCACAGATCAAATGAGAGAACACGGGGAAGCACATGGTAAATTGGAAAGTGCTGACAAATGGAAGGGGTTAGTGTCACCACCCTCAGCTGAGGTAGCACCAAGGCCTGAGCTCCTGCCCCTCGCCCAGCCCCTATGCACACACAAAAAGGGGGCCCCTTGCAGCCTTGGTTTGATGGAGTGGGGGAGGGGCTGTACAAATCTGCTTCAAGTCTGGCCGGACGGGGCTTCACAGTGGCCCTTCCAGAACCGGGCATCGGCTGCGGCCAGCTGGGTGAGAACCTCTTCCAACTCAGGCCCATCCTCTGGGAAACGCTCGGTGAAGGACCGGATGAGGCCAGCCGCTGAGGCCTCATACTCAAGAAGCTGCACTTCTGAGCCTGGGAAAGAGATGGAGAGAAAAGAGTGGCAGGGAAATGTCTTAATAGGGAAGCTGCATCATCGTCACCATCACCAGCAGCAGCAGCAGAGCAACTAGTTCTCCCTGAACTCTTACATGTGCCAAAAATTGTGCCCAATGTCTTAGGTTTATTATCTAATTTCATCCTTACAATAACCCTATGAGGAAGGAAATATTAGAAGGGGAATATTTAATGAGTGGCTGCATTCATTCACTTAAAGATTTACACCAGGTGCCATGCAAGGTGAAACAAACATAGACCTTGGCCTCCAGGAGCTTACAGTCCAGCAATTGCTTGTCCCCATCCACTGCAGGACCTTGGGCAAGTTTCTCAACCTCTGAGTCTGTTTCTTCATCTGTAAAGTGGGGGCAAGCACACTACCTCTTCTCTCAGGAAACTGTAGTGATCAAGTACAAGGCATATAAGCTGTCCTTCAGGCCCCATTTAATCACCACTTCCACCCCAGACCCTTCCCTGGATCCCTTGAGAGTGAGTGTGACCTTCTCTCCTCTACCTGCTCCAACCACTGTGTGTGTCCCCTTAAGGCCTTCCTAAGGGGCTGTGAACCACCTGAGGCGAGGGTCTGGGTCTGCTTCACCTCTTGATTCCCAAAGGCTCGCACAGAGCGGGACGGTCAAAGTGATGACAACACTGTCCACACGAGGGGCACTGACTTCGTGCCTAGCGTGTTCAGTGATTCACCCATTGGACAGGCGTCGAGCAGCTCCCGTGGGCCAGGCCCGTGCCAGGCGCAGGGGATGTGCTGCCCCTGCCGTCACGGAGGTGAGGCAGACAGGAAAAGGGCAGAGTGATGGGTGCGTGAAGGAAATAAAGCTGAGCGCTAGAACAGGGACCAAGGAGATTACTACCAATTGAGGGTCCAGGGACAGCCTCTTCCAGGAGAGGGCATTTAACAGAGATGTGAATGACACGAAGAGCGAGCCGGACAAGGATCTGGGGGAGGAGCACGCGAAGCAGAGGGAACAGTGAGTGCAAGGGCTACAAGACTGGAGCGAGCTCAGGGGGCAGGGAATGGAAAGGCCACGTGCCTGGAGGGCAGGGAGCCGGAGAGGGTCGCTGAGGCAGGGCAGGGGCTGGCTGGTGCCCAATCCCCTGGCCCTTTGGAATGCAGAGTGAAGAGTTTGGGATAAGCCTCTTACAAGCTTTGTCCTCACCAGTAGAAAGTAATTACTGGATTTAACCCTCACAACTGCCTAGGACCTTGTAGGGAGGAGGAACCATCTTTAATTTGACTCTTGGCTCCTGCAGTATAAAGCTGTAAGCCTTGAGCAATTTATTCTGTGCCTTATTTGCCTTCTCTGTAAAATGAGCATAACAAAAAATACCACACTGAATTACTGAGGATTTAAAGGGTTAATTAATGGAAAGTACTTAGAACTTGAACTAGACACTTAATTGGGGCTCACTTCAGTGTCAGCGCACAGCGAAGCTGGCTTTGTGAAGGAAGATGCCCAAGTGCAGACTGGTCAGGTGACCAGGACAAGGTCTCCCAGTGGTCCGGAAGCTCGGGCTCTACCTCCAGGCGGGCCGCCTCTTCTCAGGTGCCTCAGGGGCAGGTGTCGGCAGAGACAGGTCAAGGGGCGGGGGAAGAGTGAAGGCGGCGAGGTGCTGGGACCCCAAGGGCTTTCGGTACAAAGATCTCCGTGCAGTGCAGACAGGGACCAGCGTTTCTGGGAATGGAACCATCCCTTGAAAAGGGAGAGGGACCACAGGGCACTGACACCTGCCCTGGCTCTGCCGAGTCACACTGTCCCCTGGGTTCCGCTCGGTCTGTCGGGTCCCAACTCGCTGTCTGGCCTGACCCTTCCTCTCACTCCAGGCCGGTACCATGCCCGCTGGCCCTGCTCCCCTGGCCTTTCTGCAACCTCCCGTCGCCACCTTACAGCCAGCACGACTGTGTGTACAGCGGTAGTGATGGCGGCGGCGGTAGACGCCAAGGTTGTGGCCTGAGGGTTGGCACAGGGAGGACTATGGCAGGGAGAGAGGTAGGAGTCACCGCCCCAGGGAGCCTTCCCTGAGCCCCTGGGCAGTTCAAGGCCTCCTCTGTGCTCCTGTAGGGCTGCAAGGCACCTGCCAAAGGGGACTCAGGAGTCTGTTACCTTCGAGGCGAGTATTGGGCTGAACAATGAGCTTCCGAGATTCCTTGCGGAGCAGCACCGTGTCCCTGAGGGTGAGGAAGCACTCAGGGGGCGCGTCAGTGACGGCTGCATACCCTTCATACAGGGCCCGGCCTCCGGCCACATCCCCCGTGGACTTCAGCACCTGTGGGAAGGCAAGAGGGGTCAGTGCCTAGATGGGTGCCCACCCTGTGCCCACAGGGCTCTGCAAGGGCCACAGCTGACGGCACCCAGCCCTGGACCACATCTGCTCTCAGTGCTGCTGTGCTGAATAAGAGAGAAATGCAGATTAAGTGCTTAGCACACAGTAAGTACCCATTGATGTTATGTTATATATATGTTATATATATGTTATAAAGAATGAGACACCCAGCCCTGGCTGGTGTGGCCCAGTGGATTGAGTGCCGGCCTGTGAACCACAAGTTCGCTGGTTCTGTTCCCAGCCAGGGCACATGCCTGGGTTATAGTTTAGGTCCCTGGTTGGAGGCATGTAAGAAGTAACCAATTGATGTATCTCTCGCACATTGATGTTTCTCTTCCCCTCTTTCTCTCTCCCTCCCCCTCTGTCCAATAATAAGAAAAAGAAAAAAAGAATATGACACCCATGCAACCACCACACAGCTTAGGAGTCAGCCCAGCTGCCCTTCCTTGACTGTACCCGGCAGCCTCCCAGCTGAGGAACGGCACTCAATTTTTTGCTTTTACACCCCTGTTTTCCCCTCAACCATGCGGTATGCAAATGTTGCCATATTCTGTGATTTGCTTTTCCTGCTTGAGATTCATCCACTGTGTTCATCCACGCAGCCCTAGTTCACACTGCTGTACGGCATTCTCCTTACAAACACGCAGATTGAGCTTCTTTTGCTGTTGACGGGTAACCCATGCTTTCTGCCACTCTGTGCTGCTGGGACACCTCTGTATGACAAAGTGTCCAGGAGACTCAATGGCCTGGAGGTCAGGTGACTGTGCAACCTTAGAGGCAACACCCAGGATGTTCTCCAAAGTTGCCCAAACTCACAGCTGGGAAGCGGTGGTGGCAGTCACAGCTCCACACGCCGGGCTGGTGCGGGCGGTGTTCCCTTTCGCCCAGCTGGCAGGGCTAAATCTCATGTGGTTTAGGTCGTGCGTCCCTGCTTACTAACAAGGTGGAACATCTTCCTGTAAATTGGTAGTTTCTCATGGTCCTCTTCGGCTCATGAATTTTCCTTATTTTTCTGTTGGGTTGTCTTGTCTTCTTCTTTTTTTTAAAGTTATATACTTAGATACTAACCTTTGTTCACATATACGCAGTAAATACCCTACAGTAATTTGACTCATCTCACCTTCTACAGGGTAACTTGTAATGAACAGATGTTATTTTTAATGTAGTCAAAGGCTCAATCTTCTCCTTGGTGGCTTGTGCTCTCTTGTTTGGACAAGTTCTCCTTCACCCTGAGGTCAGTTTCAAACTTTGCCTTCCACCTTTAAGCCTTCAGTCTCTCTGGGATTGATTTTGTGGGCACTACTGCATAAGGAAGAAATCCAATTAGTTTCTCCCTGAGGATAACCTGTGGTCCCCAGCACCAACCAGTAAACAGTCCCTCCTTTCCGTGGGCATCTGCAATGCCACCTCTGTCATATGCCAAACACTCAATGCCTGGTCCTTG